TACAGGTCAATGCTTTGCACTTTGACCCTGGATCCAGATCAGTAACTTCACTTGTGTTCGTGGCTGGCACTATACCTATGTATGTCTGTACATGAGTATGTAGGTGTCTCCATATACTCAACCCCCTATTTATTATACTTAAAACATGTCTAGAGTGAAGAGGTACCTTGCTAAGAAGAATGCATTCCCTACTGGTGTCTGCATTTTTGGCCCTATCTCTTTAGAGACTGGTCCTCTCCATTCAGATCCTCCAGATGAATCCAGTTCAATGCCTTTTGTACTGGTTCTGAATTTGGCCCAAGCTCTGTTTGATCTCACCATTTGGGTTGTTGTGGTCTAGGAACGTTATCTTTCCTGTCCCGGAGCTTAGCATCTGGTGTTCCAGTTGTCATTATTATGACATTTTTATGTGTCCTCCTCCTCCCTATCATTGTAGGTATCCTGGCTTGCAGTATTTCATAGGTAAGTCTATCCTACTTGAATTTTACATTTTTATGAATTTAAAGGAGATACTTACCTCTGAAATACATTTCTACCAACCTCTCCACAACCAGGAGAAATGTATTATGACTTCAAAATAAAAATAAAAAAGACACGTGGCTTTTGGGGAGAAAGCTAAGCTTGTGTAGTTTTCCCTCGTCATGTGAAAGGTGGGATAGTAGAGAATGTTGGATAAGATGATGCATTACATGAAGGACATTCATAACCAAAAAGTTATGGTTGTTGACAGAGAGAGAGATTGATTTGAAAGAAAATGCTGTACTCAGAGATAAGTTTTCATTTTAGTTCTTATAATGTCAAATTTTAATTTATATTGCTATTCTGTATGTGTGAATACATAGCTAGCTATAGCTTTAAATTTTCTTTTACTCTTTAAAAACATTTAATTGTGCCTATTTTCTTTCCAATTTCTTATTTTGGTTCACATATCTTCTTTACAGTCCAGTTTCTTTTATATCAGAGATAACTGTTACTCTTATTACATTCTTAAAGCACATTTACCTTTCTTTTTGATAAGTTGGCAATTGTAGTAACATCGTGACATTATCGGTTGTCAAAATTCTTTGTTTTTGATCTTCTTTTTCATTTTACCACTTTAATGTTTTGTGTGTGTGTGTGGTGGTTTAAGATTATCCAGCTATCTGAATACCTATTCAGTGAAGTTGAATTAGCTTCTGTTCTGTTAAAAATTGGTAATAATATTATTATATTTAGTTTACTTTTAGTTCTAAATGTACATAACAATGTATATATTAAAATAAATACTGGAGGTTCCTTACAAAAGCCTGAAACTATATTTATAATCAATATATATGTAAAAAAAAAAGTCATTTTAAGACACGTAGCCAGTTTTGATATTTCACTATTACCAACACAGCTTCAGTGAACAAAGCTTGTATTGCAGTGTGGAAACTGCCAAACACTTTGAAACAAAAGTGATAAATTACATCTAATTAACCTCCTCATAATTTCATTTTTGAAAAACATCTTTTTGTGATTTCAATTAGCAATCAGTCAATATCTAAAAATTTGATGAAAGTTATCATTACATGTGACAAATTTGAAATATCCAACTCCTTTAAATAATCAGACAGAGCACACCTGTGACCAAGATCAAGAATGAGACTTGAGAATACGTCCTTGACTCTAGAACTGATCTTGAAGACTCAAAATTGGACCAAAGTTTTGAAAAGTGTTGATGAATCTGTGTTTGGAGAAATTAGTGCCATGTTTTCTCAAAAAAAAAGCATAAGATTGGGACCTAATTCTTCATGTAAGTTAACATTCTATAGCTATAAAACAATCTGGACTGCATAGTATTCCAAGGTTCAAAATAGATAAAGCACTATTTATCTAACCACTGCAACAATAAGAAGATTCAAATGTAGTCTGAAAGGCCAAATTTTGTCATTTGTTAACAATTGAATGAAAGAAATGATACCCAGTGGGAAAACAAAAAAAAGAGTAAACTTTATTGGCAAAAACAGAAGGATGATAGGAATAGTAGCTAATCATCCAGTGAAAGAAATTGCTCGTGGAAGAAATAGCTGATTAGAATTAGATGAAATGAAGAATTATATTTAAGTAGCAGTAAAAAACTTAATAGCTTTTTAAACAGAATTTGACACACTAAAATTAAATATAAACTTGACACTGTTGGTGTAATTACAAAAGAAAACACACACACACACGTGATCATCTTCTGAAAATAACAACAATCAAAACATATGATTTCATCAGAGTCAAATTAAGGCCTTCTTAAAAGTGCTTATACAATCCAGATTCTCCCTCTAGCTTGACCAACTAACCTGGGTATATCTTTGATTAGTGTGACAATCAAAAAGTAACTTGACACTCAAGGTAGTTTTGGATACAATACAACTATTGAGTGAAATGGCAGATAACGTCCTTTACTTATTTATGCCTTAGATAATATCACCTAGGGCTGAATAACTCATGACCTAGTTTGGATATAGGAATTTCTAAACTAGAACTTAGAAAGTTTTGTTCATTATATTAAAGATATATACTAGAAAATGTGATATACAGTATCTGTATAGTACATTAAGTAAAAAATGAAAGCTTTACTGATAGCAACAGTTATTCCTGCTTTAATAATATTACATGTGCTTAAGTAAAATCATTTACTAAAAGATATAAAGGGGTGCAAAGATTAGGTTCTGAGTTGCTAGAAGCATTGTAAGAAACACAAACATCATGTAACAGATTCCCATTTGCACTTGTAAAGTGTTATTTCTTATGTGTGTAATAAGATTTGAATTACTATTTTTAATGAAGTCTCACAACAAGTATCCAACCTTGTTTAAAAGAAGCCTACACATGTCTCTTAGATACAGCTGTGCCCAGATAAAACCAGTTATGCAATTAAAATAGAGTTGTATATCGAGGAAGAACAGTGCAAAAAAAATATTGGTTGCTGTCAAGTTGTTATGCATTTGACATAAGTTATGCTCCTATACACCTTACCTGATATAGCATACTGGTTTGGGATTAGCTGGAGGAGATAATTATCTGTAATTTTTTTATAGTTGTTCTACTATATAGAAGAGCACATGTAAAACAACCTGTGTAACTGGTGTTGAGGAAAGTGTGATGACCTTGTAGGTTAAGGAAAACTTTACCAAAATGTGTTCCTGTGTAAATGTAAATAAAATATGAAGTAACAGTGTACATGTATAAGTGCATATTTTCTTTTAGAAAATCATGGACATTTCATTCCAACAGTGGTATTTTTATACTTGAGAAATAAAGTACTTAAGTAATGGCAGAAATAGAAACGCTATAATTTTGTTAAAACACTAAACTTTTCATCATAGTACAAAAGAACAAAAGTACGATACATATTTTTATTTGTGCAGTGTATAACATCTTAGCTGTACTATCTTGTTTGGAAGAGCACATAACCATCTATAAGCTCATAAGTACAGAACAACACATACAAAATTTTAACGTATAATGGCTCCTTCAGAGTCAAAATGAGATATTTTTGAAAGCTCTCTCACAAACCACATTCTCTCCTTCCAGATTGACTAGTTATAGTAAATTCTAAAAAACATATATTTCTATTTTCATTTGTGTAATTCAGATATATTCTAGTTGGAGTTTTTGTCTGGTGTAAAACAAATTATAAACCTAATTAACCTCTCTTGCTGTTATTACAAGTAACTATTAAAATGGGAAAGAAAAAAATTCAAAGATTTTTTACAGACATATCACAGCTCAAACCATTTATCAAAACCTAAAAAAAGAAAGTTCTTTAGAGTTATGATTATTTGTTCAATGAACAGTTTAGATTTCTTAGCTGATTTACTTTTAAATATACATATGGCCTTGATTAAAAAAACATTTAAAAGCAATTGTACATATATGGTGGTATAAACAAGGAAATATCAATCTTCTTTGAAGCATTGCTAATAGCAGTTTTTTTGTATCAGTAGTGAGGTGAAGGTATACATACAACTTAGATGATATGTTCTGCAAGGTCAGCTGTATGTAGTATGTTTAGTAATGAAGCTATGGTGAGAAAAGTTTAGGTAATAGTACAATATAAGAGCTGGAATTTGATGTTTCTCTGTGAAACGGTTGTAAAGAAAAGTTAATTAGAGTTATGCTACAGTGCAGTGGCATAACTAGGGAATATTGGCACCAATGCAATTATATATATATGTTATATATTACTGCATATTACACACACACACACGGATTACCATGGTCTCATGCTACGCTAATCTCCTCAATTATCATAGAGGAGTACCATCCAATGTGGGAACTATATGAAGGCCTAAGCAGTTCAAGGACTCAGAATCTGTGTGTTGTAAGAAAAGCACTGGATGTCTTGGCAACAGATGCTGTCGCATATAGCAACTGGGACCTTTCGGCATAGCTGGGAAAATCTGTGAGGAGGGTTTCTGTTGAACTTTACATGCCAAGGGTTATGACATTTAGAATATTAAAAACACACCTAACCTTTCATGTGTACAAGCTTCAAATGGACTAAAAGTTGCTTGAAGAGAACACACAGTGTGTTCTGTAGCATGGCAGCATGAACACTACTGTGTGTTTTGAACAAAATTTTTTTAGGTAATGCATTTATCTACAAACACACACAAATTTGTGTGAGGTATAAAAAGATGATAGTGACTTAACAGTACAGCCAAACATTTATAACTACAATCAGAATTAGAACAATCATAAATCCACCTAGTGATGCTTGTGTCTGATGGTCTGCTTTTAAGTGAAGAGCCTAGAAAGTGGTCAATATATTCAGGACATACATTTTATAAAAATGCGTTGTTTTAACCATTCCAATAAAATGTGTAAGGTTGGTACAATAAGTTTTTGATATTTAAATGGATGTAAAATTTAGAAATTGAAAAGAGTTCATTACTTTAACTTAATCTTTTCTGTACTCAGTAATTGTTTTTTTTTTTTCGTTAGCATTCTTACAAATTTTTTTGGTAAAACTTGTTTTTCTACAGGTCTCTCAAATATTTAGTTGGAAGTTTGACTTGAAAACATTTAGGAAAACCTTAGAAAGTACACTTACATCATCATGCTTCCTTAGTTTCAATGCATTTTCTTTCATCTCGATATTCTGTGGTATCAGGTAAGTTAAAAAATTTTCTATATTCTTATAACTTGAATGCTTTGTTTATTTCTTTTTTATTTCACATTTATGTAGAACTATGTAAGTAAATCTTAATTGGATATTTTTATAATGTTTTATATCTAAGGCAAAGGAGTATATTTAGAGAACATGTTAAAAAAAATATTGGAAAGTATTAATTTTTCAAGAATGTATTGAAGTTAGAGTGAATGTCTTTATTACAAATTATAATAAATATTACAAAAGAAAGAAATTTAAGAATCTCTATAATAAATCCTTTAAACTCCTAAATAATGAAACATGTCTTTGTACATTGAACATTATTTCATGTAAACTTGGAATTTGTTTTTATTTTAAGCATTTTTCTCCTTTTCTGAAACCAACCTCATAACCATTTTGTGTTTATTATAGTCTTCATGCTATAACTTTAAAATTAGTAAGCAAACGTTAACGAAATTTGGCACATTATCAGTAAATATTACAATGCTTTCATATGCAAAATGTCAAATTTTTTATTAAGTCTTAAGGTTTGTAAAGGAATGTTTTTCTCATGCCTCTTTTTTTCTTTTTGCATGTTTTCTATCTGAAATACAAAGTAATTTTCATTTTAAGATTCAAAATACTTTTATGCACCAGAAAATTTCCAAATTTCACATGCAAAATCTTTATAATGTCCAGATAGTTATCAAACATTTCTTAAGAAAAACTATATTTTATCTGTTATTTTCAGTAATTAATCTCTCTACAGGTTTGGTAATTTGACCGATCTTGTAACCAATAAATATAAATTATGCCTCTTTCATTCTAGTATGAAATTTTGCACAAGTCTTAATTCATAGACAACTTCATTATAAGATTCTTTAAGTATATCCTCCTTTTCCTCTTACAGGTTCATAAGAAAAATTTATTATTAGCCAAACATTAAATATTGACATTGCTCAGTTAATGTATTCTCATATATTTTAGCATTAGGATTAAAGTCTGTTGCTTGTTGTGAAATATAGTAATTCAGGAATAAGGTTTATCTCAAGAATATTGTAAGCAATAAACAGCACATCAAAGATTTTTCTTGAAATAACTTGTTTTTTGAGTAACATTACAAACTGATTACCTGCTTCAGAAATGCTACCCACATTTCTACATAACCAATTACTGTTGCCTTGCTCCACTGCTGAAAAGAATTTTGTGCATATGTCAAGCCTCTGTCTTATTTCACAGACCTCCTTGTGACACCTTTGTGTGAAATATTTTGGAACTTCCTTAAACACTGCAAACTCAATTTGAGTCTGCTCATCAGTGGTCATTTCTGCTCACTTTGGTTTCCTGCTTAGCTTGGTCTAGAGACAACAATATGTTTGTTTCTCATGCTTGGGAGTCTCATAGGGCCATCCACTCCTCCTCCTTGTCCTCACTATCCAATTTCCTTACTTTTGGAAGGCTTGCCATTGTGGATTACAGATGTGATCTCAGGCCTTTAGTTTCGGGATTAGTTAAGTCTTTGCATCAACTTTTTGGAACTCGTTGCTGTTTTTTGGACAATGGTTCAATTTCTATTGTTTCTACAGGTCATGACAATTAGGATTCATTCTGATAACACAATGGTTGTATTTTACATCACCTGAAAAGGGGCACTTGATCCCAATCCTTATGTTCTTGCACTCTAGAGCTTTTCTTCTGAGCTCACAGTTATCAAATTTGTTTGCTGGCTTGTCACATACTGGGTGCTATCAATTTTGTCCCAGTTCATCTGTCGTGTCCTGACAAGGTTCTACCCACGTAGTAGTCTCTCAACCCCAGGTATTCTATCCTGAGTAATTTCTCTCATCTAATCCACTATGTGTCTTGTGGCTCCTTTCTAGCTGGTTCATATGTGGTTTCTGTCTCTGGCCCTTCTCCAGGAACTACCTTCGTTACCTCTCCCTCTCTCCCAGTCCCTCCTCTGACAACCTCACTTAGGCATGCTTCTTCTCTTTGTTCCCACACTTTTGCTTCATGCGTGGCTTTTGTCTGGTCCCTTGGGAAGGGTTCAAGCCTATCCACAAGTTTAATGTCCCTGTTACCACACTATCTATTTCTCTTCCATGTCTGTGTATCAACATGAGTGGAGAATATTCTTTTTTTGCCATGTGTTTTCCTTTCTAGTTATTTTCCTTTTAATTTGGTATATGCATCTCCATCATCATCCTCATACCACTCAATTGCCCAAATGAAATCTAAATGTTGTTTTTCAAGCCCTTTCCCCTTTGAATCACTAGCCTCATGTTCTTTCCTTGAAGGTGTATTTCCTTCTCCTTTTGGCTTGTGTATATCACCAGTCAGACTTGTTTGCCATTGATGTTCACTGCATCTTGTACCACAAACCTATATCATTTTATATCCAGACTCTTCCTTCCTTCACCAAACATAATCTGTCCATTAAGGCATGCACCCTTCCATGGCTCTCATTCCCTTTCTCTCTAATCTTTCCAGTTGTTCTGTGTTTTGTCCCATCATATCTGTCTCCTCCGAATGTCTTTGGCTGCTCATTTCTGTCTTCCTTTGGAGGAGATTATCCAGGCTGGAATGTAGACAACTCCCCCCCCCCCCCGATCCTGCTCTGTGACAAGTGGTACCTGTCCAGGTATACTGTTATGCAAAATCTAGACTGTGAGATCTATATCATGCTCAATGTTGAGATGGGGTGTTCCACAAGACCACTTGCAGGTTCTTTCTTGCAATATATTTTGTATAAATGTGTTCATATCGGGTCGTTCACTCATGGACTTACATGAGTAAAGCAGAAAGAGATTGCTGCCCATCTCTAATGTTCCTTATATTGCTAGTATTGGGAACAGTCTGCTTGTCAAAATAGGATTTTGTGGTCACCCATTGCACAATTTGTGGTATGTTCCTCTGGGCTCTCCAATGCATTTCTTCCACCCTTTTTCCAGTGGAGTACAGGAGTCCATACCACTTCCTAATCACTAGCTGCTGGGGTGATGGAGTGTGCACAATTCCACTCAGATGGGAGTAGGGTGGTGGCATTCTGCCTGTGTAGAAGGTGTGACTATCCTTCTACTGTATGTCTGATCTTTTATTCCAGATGCCATTGGATTGGACTAAATTTTTCCAACTATTTTACAGATCATCCCTCCATCTAGGAACCCTCCCTCCTACTGCTACCTAGATTTAGGTTCCTGGACATCTGGTTTTGGTTGGAGCAGGACCAGCCAATGCAAGTCCTCACATGTGAGTGGACTGGAAACTTCTTCATACCACAGACTGGATGTTCCATCTCCAATCAATAGGGTTTGGAATGGAATTGACCATCCATGTTGCATTTCCAACTTCCTGATGCTGTCCAAATGTATATTCCCGGGGTTTCTTGCTGCAGGTTGTGCTGGATTTGCACACATGATGGTTTAGGTTCCTGAAACAGAGGCTTCTCTTCCTTTGTGGTTCCTCAACTTGAGGTGAATGGTTGAGGACCCTCTCCCTACCATTCAGGGTTGCTATGGCCCCATATTTTCACTCAGATTGTGAGGACATTCATACAGAAGATGTATCTATTGGGCCTAAATTTCCACAACAAAATAGATGGTTGACTCCTTCTCATTCTGCCCATATAAGTATCTTTGGATTAACTTTCTTCTTTGGGAGTCATCTCAGTTTGGTTGGCTGGTCAAGCACCAAGTTCAACTTTACTCCCACCAAATCTTTGATGTACTTGGGAGTATTTTTTTTACCTTGTTTGCAGGGTAGGCTTAGCTATCTTCTTGCATGAGATGTTCTATCTCTTTTGGGGACTTTGACTTTTTATAAGTTCCTTGCTCCTCTCTCATGTACTCATTTGCATTCTTTTCAGTGCACTCTGGTGAATCACTTGAGTATGTCCAGAGATCTACTGTCTCCTCTTGACTTTTTCTCCTTCACCTCTCACTGTTGTGTTAGCTCTGATGGGGGCATCCCTATTCTCACCACATTGCTAGGACTTTCATGTATTCATAGGTGCCTTTCTGTCTGGGTTGGGTACAGTTCTGGACACTTGCACTCCAGTGCTTGATCTTTAATGGAGTGGTATCTATATATTTCTGTCCTCGAGATATTGGTTATTATCATCTTCTCTCTCATCTGTCTGGTTATTTGACTATGATCCATTCAGATAGCTCCACTGTCATTTCTTACATCATCTAACAGGAAGGCAACCAGGAACTCTACTTTCTGACTCTAGCGTTTGTCTTTTTTGGCCCATGACTATCACATTCAATTGTTGGCCTGTCATGTCCCTGGAGTTTTTACCTTTATTTTGTATTGGCTATCTCATCTAGGCGGGATTGTTCCTAAGGGGTGGTCTGTACATTCACTTGTGTATCTGTGGATTTATTTTTACTTTGGGAGTTCTCTTGTTGATACCCTTGCAATTACCCTCATCACAAACTTTTCACTTTTTTTTTAATACAATTTCATGCGTATGCAGCTTTGGTTATGGATGGATGTTCTGAGTTAGGATTGGTCTGATTCCTTACTATATGTTAACAACCCTCTGTCTCTTCTCATGATATTTTCATTTTCTTTCTCATCAGTTGTCTTCTTCTGAATTAGAACCTCTTTACTTTTCAGGGATCCTACTTTGGCTGCCTTGTCAGGTGATTATATGTTTTCTTCAAGCATCCTCCCTTCCATTTCTTATCTGTGCCATCATTTCAAATTCAGTCATTTTTCTTTGTCCTGTCATAACAGTTTGTTTTTATTTTGCTTATTGCCCTCTTTTGTAGCAATCAATCATTTTTTTAGCCATGGGATTCCCCTTCTTTTTGTAATTTATCTCATTCCTCATTGTTTGTTTGGTTAAATAACTCATTTGGTTAGTTTTTTTCTTCTATGGGTGATGACATTTTTTGTCTTTCATGTCACTTCCCATTAAGTTTGTCATCTCACAGGTTCTTTTGCCTTTAACTGTTCATATCTCCAAGATGTGACCTTGCATGCAGGGATGTTGACACCCCACCTCTACCTTGTTTCACATTCCTTACACCACATTGTGGTTTCACAGGTGATGAGTTTTTGATTGTTTTCTTATTTTGCAGCTACTACAACCACCATCTTTTTCTATATGTATCTCTATAATGTAGAAAGTGGAATTCATCATATGGCTGGTGTTGCCTTACAGGTAATTTATTTCTCTGTCAAAATCTGCACTGAGTAAAGTATAATAGAATGTTAAACCCATCTGTCGCTGCTCCATGCCCAGTGTTGAAATGTTTTTTTTTTTTTTGAAACCACTTTTTGGAGGTAAAAAATTTAACCAACCATCGTGTACTTTTGGAAAAAAAAAAAAAGAAAAAAGAAAAAACAGCATCAGGTGTGCTTCTGCCCTCTACCTGGGTAATGGTTGCTATCTCTATTCATGATAACAAATTGCACAGTTTATTAATGTGAGACCTTGTAATGATTTATGTTTGTTACAAGCACCTCAATGGCATTCACCCCTATGCAAATTCCTTCCTCCCATTTTATTTTAGTAGAGTAAATGGAGAACATTTGTGTCCTTGAATTGATGCTGCTGGAGAAATTGATTTGGAGAATTACCCTTTGGGCTGATGTAATCTCACTGGTATGAGACTGAGTAAATGCACGTTTGATTGGTAGTAGGTCTGGAAGTTAGTACAGGCTAACCCTACACTGAGAACCAGACTATAGAGCTGTATGGCCTAACTTATTGCTCTAGTTGCAATATACATACATGCACTACCAACACCCTGTATATGTTGTTTGAGCAAGCTTTACAATCCATCCATCTGTGTGACTCTTTAGCACTGAGCAGAAATACTTTTAACAGTACATTTACTCTACCACTTCTATTGATCAAAGAGTATTCCCTGCATGAGTTGGATGTGGTTTCCCACCAAGTGATACCCCACTAGATATTTTCATCCACCCTCTAGTGGATAACCCACTCCATGAATTTCCCTTTCTGAAGCAATATATTATAATCTTTGTTAATTTTCTTTATATACACTAATCCCTCCTCTACCTTACCAATGTGGGAGTCCAGCTATCAGTTCTATGAAGAGGTATATAGTTTTTATGAAGGTAACATTTTCTTTGTCTGAACCCTTCCTCACTTCTGGTGTATTTCTTTTGCCTCTTCAAGAATGAACATTTGTTAATACATAAGGTGCTTGTGGGGTCTATTGTGCATGAAGGATGTGACACCTTCATATTGGTGGTGGGCTATAGTCTAGTGCTGATTGCATCATAATAATGTTAATACATGTTGGGGTTGGAGTTTTGTTCAAGGCTTATAGCATGGGCAGAAATCATGGGCAGGTATTAGCTATCAATATGAAGTTTTGAGACAGCTATTTGTGAGATAACAGATTTATTTCTGTACAAAGTTTTGTTTTAACTACCTTGAAATTGTGTTGTTCCTTAATTGTTGTTTCTGATTGTGTCACACTGTTAGAGATGAAACATTGTACAGAAATAATTCCATTATCCCACACCTAGCTATTTCAAAACTTCATATTGTTCATAGGGTAAGAAGGTGCCTTTTAAAAAGCAAAGTAGTAGCTATCAGTTCTTTGGAGAGGTAAGTATTTATCTGAAGTATATTTTCAGGTAATGAAAGTGTTAACTTTTGGTTACTTTTCTTATAAAAAAACTAGTTAAGCAATGTGAGATAAGACCTATTTACTTATATTAGTACTAATAAAAAATTACTTTTTTGCTTACACTAGGAGAATCATGGGAAAATTTTACTACTTACACTGCGCTTACATACCAGCTTTTACTGCAAGTTTTCTAGCAATTCTGATTGAAAGAGAAAGTAGGTAAGTATTTTATAGGTCAATTTTCTTCTTACAAGAAAGGCTAGTAAGTGGTGTTAAATGTGTGTATACATAAGGTTACATTCAAATTATAACTGTGGAAATTTGTTTTGAAAGAGATTTATTGTATTGCTTTATATGCATGAATGAAACATCTCAAGATTGAGTTTACAGATGACAAAATTTTGACATGAATAATAATACTTTAACAATTAAGTTATGCATTATTGCAATTTTTATTTTATGGTTTTAACACCTCTTTAACAGTGTGATTTGGTGAAAAATGTTTTGTAAAATGGTTATTCTTTTTTTTATTCTTTTAGGCGTCAGCCACTAGCCTTGTATGTTATAAATATTGTGAGTATTTTTATTTTGTTTTAAGTTTTTTTTTTTTACAACTGTAAGTTATAATTTTGAGATTCAAGGCCATCATAGGACTAATAAAAAACTGATTAATATTCTGTGGGATTTCTGAGTATTTTTGTAACTCACCATATAACAACTTAAACTAACTTAGGTATAATATTTTGATAAAGAAAAATTTCTAATTATTATTTAACATCAGTTGGAAAGTATATTTTATTTAATATTTATTTAAATATCATATACACATATAATAAAAGTATTAATTCAGTACAAATTATAATTAACCCAAGAACTTTTAGTTCATCAAAGTTAACATCAATAATTATTTAATATTTTATTTAATCACATTTAATTACAAAATTACAGTAACTCATTTTTTTACATCTGTTAGTTGGTTAGAGGTAAGTTTACAGACTTAAAGTGGAAAAATCTGTGGTTTGATTCCGTGTGATGGACAGATTACAGAAAGACCATTGTTTAACTTCGTACTAAGAAAACATCATCATTTTATTATCTCGAAAAGTCTTCTATATTTTATATTTGATCTAGAACTTTTGTTTTACAGGAGCGACAAGGGTAAATTATTTTCTTTCACACTCTTATTTCTTATGGATGTGGGTACATGTTGTTTAATTCTTTCCTGCAGTCTTTGTGAAGTGCGACCTACATACGGACATTTGCAGTTGCATGAGAATTAATAAATAACCATACTTTTCTGTGTGGTAGGTATCGCATCTTTGTTTGTTGCAGGCGACAGCTTACGTGTGGAATAAGCACAGTAAGGGTTCACTGCAGGAAAACATTTAGTAATTTGTTTTTCAAATTTTGTTGAAATGTTACCAATCCATGGTAGTTTTAGCTAAACAGGACACTTATTAAACAGGACCAAATTTTGGGGCAGTTGAGAAAAATTTAATTAAACTACTCTATTATCATTCTATACCAATAAACATACAATGTGAATCAAGTTTCAATATTAGGAAGTTTTATGTTGTTAATTCTACAGGGAAATATTTCAAAAAATCTTTAGTCTCCCCTAGTATAAGAATTGTGACATTTATTCTCTAGGTCTTCTGTCTTCTCTAATTTATTTGTAATTCTCTTATTTACTGTTCCTCTTAGAAGTACAGAATTTTACATAAATTACTCAGTATAATGTGTCATTGCTCAGGCAAAGCATAATCTTTTTGGTCTTCAATATTATTTGTTTATTTAGCAATAAACTAGAAAATCGGGCCCATGCCCACCTGTCACATCATCTTTTTCACAAATTACCAATAGTTCTTTCTTGATGTTTTATATTGTATTATTTAAAACCAATAGAATGCCAGTTTTTAACCTATCAAATGATATATTATATTTTCTGTACATAGCATGATATATTTTGCCTTCAGTTTGAAATGTTTTCTCATTATATTCACATTGACAAACTTTGCTGGATTTTTAAAGGCTCTTATCTCATAGTTAGAAACCCAGATAAATTACGATAGTTATAGGATACTGTTTGTTTTGTACAATATATTATTCTGTGTTCTTAGTTGCATTATTTAATGAAATAAAAAAATTATTTTGCACAGTAGTGCCATTAGTATAAGAAAAAAATAAGTAAGCTTAAGTTTCATTGGTAGTTTACAGTAAACAAATAAGAGGACCAATGCAATTACTTTATTTTATGTTTTTGTATGTATTCTTTATTATTATAAAATTCACTAAAATCTAAAAATTAGGTTAGATAAGGTTAGATTAAGTAAAATAATGAAAAGAATAATAATAATAAATGCTTGCGAGCAGCTTGTGCATTATGTAATTCAATAGGGTAATGTGAGCTATACATTTAATGAGTGATTTACAATTTATGTGGCTGGTTTATTAATTAGGCACAGTGAAAAGGGCAATAAAACAATAACATTAAGTATAAACAGATGTATACTGTTACAAGCTTTAAGCTATTTAGGATAAACAAATGTAGTTTCATATTGCAATTTGCAGTCATTCTACAAAAACAACAACAGGTAATGGACATTTATTTCATTTTTTTACGGTGGTTATGAGTTCAGTAAAATTGATTGAATGGGTACAGATTTAAGGTAGAGAAAATAACACATATATATAATTTTATATTAATTTTTATTTTACTGAAAAAATTGATATTCATTTAGGTGGTTTTAGAGATTATGCAAATTAAATTTCACAATTGTTACATAAATAAATGTATTTTTAATGTTAGCATGAAAATCACTTTGCACTTGGAGCATTCAGCACCAACTCTATATGTTCATGGACAAATGTTTAATAAAAATAGTTAATTAAAAAACCTGATTTGTTGTGTACAAAAGACTTGTAATATTTACTAAAAGCTTGCAAAATATTTTGAAGTTACACAAAACATATTAAATGTTATAGTATGGAAACTCTGACGATCATAAACTTGGTTGAATTGACTGAGCCTGTAGTGAGAGAGTTAAAGCAGTTAATGTTTATAATTAAATATAATTTGTTTTTAGAGTGAGTGCTGGTCCTGTGGTAGAGATGTGAATTTTGGAGCTGGGGATTTTGTATGATACCACAAAATATTCCTTGCACTTGAAGCTGTGGGTGCATTAGAAAAGTGACAGTTAATCCCTTAGTGTGGATGGTGGGTGATAGGGTGTTGATGACTGACTGCCTTCACTCTGGTCAGTAGTTCAAAATTGGAGATGCCAGCATATAGCTTTAGTAGCTTTACCATAAATACAGAATGCAAATACAAAAATACAAATAATTTCTCTTCAGATTCTGGGAAACTTTTGATATTATGTGACTGATGAAAGGTGACTATGTATGGGGAATTTTAATTGGTATGTATTTTATACATAGATATGTATAAAGAACTTAATGGGGAGAGATTGTTGAAATGAGCATGCAAAAAAGGAAGTACGATGTATGAAAAATGACTGTAAAGCTGCTAACTATGAAATACATGATAGTAAAAATAATGTTGTTTATGAAGTAACTTGTGATGGATGCTCTAGTATGTATATAGGAGAAACTTTCCAACCCATACATCATCGAATATGTGAACATGTGTGTGACCTTCAAAATCTCAATACTAACATTATAGAACATTATGAAAAAGAACATGGTCTACCACAAGCAGATAACATCTTATCGGATGTCAAGATCTTATCTAAATGTCATAATTTTCTGGACAGAAAAATTAAAGAATCCATTTTAATAAAGAAAAAGAAACCTAAAATGAACAAATACAAAGGTTGGCATCTAGTGTAGAGACATAAATGGCATTTTTTAATATGTGGAGTTTTGATGAAGCCTCTATACTTTTAATGGTTGAAATATACATTCAGACATTACTTTATGTATGTATTGATATAATGCAACAGAAAAATACTTATCAATACAAATATGAAGAAATGTTTTAGATATTAGATTTCATTCTAAATCCAATCATGTTAATAGTTTATTAGTTTACACATGTTATTAATATAGCATTGTTTGTTGGATTTGTCTTAACAATATAAAGTCAAGAATGTTTGATATTATTTTAATATAATATGAACTTTCTAAACATGTGTATCAGTGTTTGATTTACAAATGACAGTGTTGAAATTTAGAATTAACTGGATTAGGGAACTTGTAGGATATCGATAGCTCTTGATGAAGCTGTACTAGCAAAATATTGAGCTAATAAAGTTATGTTCTGGAGATATAGGTTGTGGTTTTATCTAAGTTTATAGAAATGTCTCATAATAAATTCCAGTTTGAGTTAAACAACGTTAAGAATAATAAAATTAGATATAGTAGGACAAAAAATTCTAAGTTAGTATTACTTCTATAGGCTTCTGAAACAATCTTCCGAATGCTTGTGACAAGAGGATATACTCAGCCACTACCCCAGGGTGAGGTAAGAAAATATTTGTAGACTTATGATCAGTGTTCATCAATGTTATATTTTACATTTATAGGTAAATATATCCAGCAGTATTT